TCAAAGCTTCGTCATAGTTACTGCAAACCTGGGGGATGGCTCAGCGCAGTCGAGGATCTGTTGCTATTCACGCGGCAGATCCAAGCCTCGTGCGGTGCATTCGCTGCAGTCCTAGGTTTGGATTTGAGGTTACTGGGAGCAGTGCCGACTTTTTGAGCCGATGGCAGTTGCGTTCAGACATACCCGAGCGACTTGCAGGGCTCCAGCTTCTATTTTGCCTTATCGTCACATGTCTGTGTTGGGGTCAATGGTCGCATGAGGGGTTTCCGACTGTGACGGCGACAGCAGTGCAGTGCGGGGGGCGCTGCGGAGCAACAAATCCAGCCTTCTCATGTGGTGCGGTTGCTGCAATCCAGATGCGGGCGCGCTTGCGCCAATGCCGACTTTGGTGGCGACAGCAAGTGCATGTGTAATCAGTCTAAGGTGCTGATCAGCCTGTTGCCGCAATCCGGGCGGATGGATCCGTAGTCTCATGGCGTGACGCTGGCGTTGGTAGCGCCAGCATTGCATTGCAGAATGAGCTGCGAGCATTCGCAGCAGATACCCGCTCCTGCCGCGCGGTACATTTGCTGCAATCCTGGCTGATGGATCTGTCCCGACTTGTTGGACAGCGCAGTCGCGTTCAGTGCCTGCAGTGCAGCATCAGCTGCGCGATGTGAGCTGCACCAAAGCCAATCTTCTGAGTTCGCATTTGCTTCAGGCCTGGAGAGTGAGTGTGTGTTGAGTCCGTGCTCGCTTGAGTTGCAGTCGCACCTGTTTGCATTCTTTTATGATGGGTCTGTGGTCACCTGTGGCAGTGCCGGCTTTGAAGCCGTATGATTTCGGCGATGCCGGTCGATATATCTGTGGTCCCGTGGCGCGAGGCCGACTTCGGGCCGAAGTCGGCCTCGCGCCAGGGGATTGGGGCAACAGCATTGCCGTGCACGCATGGTCGCGGCAATACCGTGTGCGGCGCACCTTGCCGATGCTGTGGATAGCGGATGGCCACATCTTCCGGCGGCCACCACATTTCTTTGGCAGTCGCCATCTGCTGCACTTTCATGGTACAAGAGCGCGACTTGGAGCAGTGTGGATCCTCTTGGATTCTTGCAGCAGTTTGGTGTGCGGCATGGGCGGGCTCAACATCTCGCGGTGCGCGGTCGGCTTGCCTTCCCCCGTGAGCTCTTGGTGTTCCTGCGCAACCGGTGCGCGTCATGCCCTATCGTCGGAGTTCAACATCCTGCGGTGCGCGGTCGTCTTTGCCTTCCTCCGTGGGCTCTTGGTGTTCTCCGTGTGGCGGTGGTGGGAAGGCATACAACGGCAGGATGTGGAGGTCATCCTAGTGAAGGCGGCGTGCAATATGCTGCTTTCAGTGCTGGCTAGGGCTCGCTGCGTAGTACCTTAGTGAGTGTCCGCGGTATAGCTGTATAGCTGGATTGCTGAAGCCAGAGGTCGTGACCTATGTCATATATGTGTTGTTTGTTTGCAGTAGCTAGTATTGTGGGTTGCATGCTGCATCCTTGGCGTTGATACTGGCCTTCAGTGTGATTCAGTGTCATCAGAGGGGCTATCAGCCTCACTTTCTGGTTCTGGTGGAGGGTGGCGAGTCTGACATCCCCTTTTGGCAGCTTTATAGTCTTGGTGATTCAACACACTTCGCATCTTGTTAATACATCTGACTGGTACGGCTGCTTCGTGTGTCCTTCCGCCAAAAGAGGAATTGTCGACTCGCTTGTACCAGTATGTACACAGGTGTATGGTATCAGTATAGGTGAAGTATGTGAGAGAGAGAGAGAGTGTGAGTATGCTTTGCGGCTAGAGGGAAATGTAGAACGGTATTTGTGCTTGCTCAAAAGTGTTTTGCATTTCTACTCTTGCTCGTGCTGTTGATTCTTTGGTATGTCTCTAGCCGCAAAGCTGCTCGAGCGCTGGAAGGAGTTTTCGAATTCCCACCCGCCCACCCTCTGTCCTGAACTGGCGACGGCTTGATAAACAAGTCGCAGGTCTTATGGTTTTTTGGTGCAGCCATAAGGAACTTGCTCCTATGGAGGAAGCTTAGGTTTTGAGGGTTCAGGATGTACCACTTAGGGCGGATACTTCAGGTGCGGGAGTAGGGCTGAAGGGTTTACGCAGAAGGTTTCAATCGTCTTCGCATGTACCCACCTAGACACAAGTTCAACAGGCCCTGAACCCCTTAAGTCCCGTAAGCCCTTATCCATACGCCCCTTAAGCCCTAAACCCAAAGGCCCTCAAAAAAAAAACTCAAAACCCCCTGCTGCACTCCAAACCCAGGAGTGGTGGCTAAGCCGCGGCAAGGCGCTTCACAGCTCGTCGGGGGTTGCGTTTGAGCGTAAGGCGAACACCCGAAACACCTCATAGGATGCAAACACCTGAACCCTGCAACTTCGCAAACTCTGCTGTAGTGTGTTCCGAGCCGGTTTCAAGACTGCGGGGAGCGATTGTTGAAGAGTTGAGGTCCAGTTTTTGGCTTTCTCTCTGGAGGGTTCGAGGTAGGGAGGCAGGGCAGTGAGAATCTACTAGTAGCTACCTCTCCCCCCCCCCAGTGCTTCCCTTTTACCTTCTTTGCTTTTATCCCCCAAACCCATGAAATTACTCCTCGAGCTCGGCAACTCTCACATCTTATCTTTACTACTGCAGCTTTCCGGGGGTATTTAGGACCCGCAAGAGCGCTGCAAAAAGAGCCACTGCCCTGAAAAGAAGAACTCACAACCCTAAAGCCTAAACTTAGCCACAAGCTCTGACTCTTAAAGCCGACGCCCTACCAATGATCCTAAATCCTAAGGCCCGAACCCTACAAACCCTGAAGCCACGGCCCCTACAACCTGAATTGTATCCTCCTCGAATCCTACAACAAACCTGTATGGAATAAAGAACCCCAATCTAGACCCGACGTAGTAGGACTCTTTTGTTGTAGACTCATGCGCCCCGAAGTTGGTTCCTCCTGTGGGAGCAGCCTTTGACATGCTGCGCCCCAAAGCCTGCAAGCCTCCCGAGATCTCAATCCCTAAACCGATGAACCCTAGCAGCCCTATGAACTCTATGAGCCCTTTTTTGAAGCCTAAGCCCCAGAAGGCCCCATGAGCAGCTGAATGCAGGTCTGGTGATCGAGCCTCTTGTTGTCTGACCGGGCCGGCCCATCCGTCTTCGACCCAAAGATTTCTTCGTCTTCAACACTTCTTACGGATTTGCCAAGCCACACACAAGGCTTCTTGTTGGGGTCGACCTAAGCCCTAAACCCAAAAGGGGGTTTCCGGTGCTTAGCCGCTTCAAAAAAACGGGGGACCCTTCAAGGGTTCCTTTTAGGGTATCCTTAAACCCTAAACCTTAACCCTAAAAAGCCTAAACCCTAAACCATAAATCCTAAAGCCTAACTCCTAAAGCCTAAACCCTAAACCATAAACCCTAAAATCCCGAAGCCCTAAACCCTACAGGATCACCCTTTTGGGCTCGGGGAGAGATCGAAGGCGCCTGGCAAGCGAGAGACGGCTCTTTTGTAGAGATTCTCTGACGCTCCGAAGCTGCGGCTGCTCTGGAGCTGAGGTAGGGAGGTTCTCGTTTTGGGTTTAGGGGTTTTAGGGGTTTTAGGGGTTTTAGGGGTTTAGGGGTTTGAGGGGTTTGAGGGGTTTGAGGGGTTTGAGGGGTTTGAGGGGTTTGAGGGGTTTTAGGGGGTTTAGGTGTTTTAGGGGTTTTAGGGGTATTAGCGGTTTCGGGTTTAGTGCTTAGGGGTTTAGGTTCTTCTTTGGTTTAGGGTTGGGTTAGGTTTTCGGTGGAGGGCCCAGGGCTTGAATAGGGATGGCGGGTCTGGCAGGGGCTTTGGGCTTTAAGTTGGGCTTGAGAGTGGGGGACTCAAAAAGGTCCAGGATTTTGCTTTTGGATCTGTGTTCAAGTGTGACTCTGAGTCCATGTGCTGATCCCGCGGAAGCTCTAAAGAAGGGGTTCATCCCTGAAGCCTAACACCCTGAACCTTTAAAGGGGCCGTCAACAGAAAGCCATCTGAAGCCTGGTTCGGGGTTTCATGGCAAGCTGCCGACATCCTCCCTGCCTTCTTCCGGGCGGCCCTGGAGCGAATATCCCCTGCAACTACAAATTTTGTCGTCTCCTTGGGAGGTGCAGGCGCGAAAAAGCTGAATCTCGGAGTTACTAGAGAACCGCTTCTGGTCTACTCGGTCCTTCCCGTCCCTTGTATTCTCACGAGTATGATCTATAGTTTCTATTCCTGAATTAAGGATTCTTCGGCTCTCCGGGGCTCTCTGTCTTTCTCTCTGTGCTGGGAAGTGGAATCCCACAGGTCCTGAAATTGGGCCCAAAAAGCCCTCAAGCCTAAGCCCTATATCTGCTTCAACCACTAGAAGCCCAAGCCCGAAGCCCTAAAACCCCAAAAGCCACCCCCAGATAGCCGGATCACAAACAGCCGAAGACCTTGGAACTGCGACACGGAAACTCCAGAAACTGTCAGGTCGGTCAGGTTCTGATTGAAACCACGAGCCCCATGTGTCTGGATGTAGTGCTTTGAATCCTGGCGCCATCACGCAGTGTAGGAGAGAACCGACTGCTATCGCTGTTGCATGCATCGAAACGCTTCACTTGATCCGGGACTCCCGACTGCATCGCAACGCTCATTTGAGCTTGAGCGGGATTTGGGCCACACCCTTAATGTAGGAACCTGATTACGAAACCTTGGGTCTTTTTCAATCAAGGGCTCTTTAAATTGAGTGCTGAGATATATATATATATATATATATAAATAAATAAGGGTGATAAGGCCTGACCCCTCAAACCCTAAGCCCTGATCAGGTTCCTCCCCTAGCCTATCGAACCCTGAGAAGACTCGAGAGCCGCCAGACCACCAGCCCCAGCCTCAACCATCACCCTGAAAAGCCCCCTAAACCCCAAATCCTAGGCCCTTTTACCCACGGTTTCGGGTTTAGAGTTCAGGGCTCAGTCTCAACATAGACCCCCTTTTTCGAGACGAGGGCTGGGATTCCAAAGCCTCCAGCGCCATGGCGAACGCCACCCAGTCCTGGCCTTGGGGAAGCTACTGGGCGGCTCCCGAGGGATTTTGGTGGGCATCCCAGGCCACCGGGGCGTTGACTTACGGTTTGGAGCTTAGGGTGTAGGGTTTAGGGTTAAAGGCTTCGGGATTAGGGTGTTGCATGTGTTGTTTTCAGGGACTCTTTCGTCGGTTTGTGCAGGGCCTTAGCTTTGGGGCGTCGTAGCAACACTCGAAATCGTCGTGATCGTCATTCAACATTCCTTCTTGCACTAGGAATACTCGTCATGTCGACATTCATTGTGAAGTACAGCCCCGATCCTTTACAGTAGCCCCAACGACAAGCCCCTCAACCTGAAGCCCTAAGCCCCCCATGGCCTTGAAGCTGAAGAAGCTGCGCGCTCCTCCTGAGCGCTTCAAGCCCATAGGCCGCACCAGCAGCCGCGAGCTGGAATTTCAGCCGCTTGCAGGAGGCGGGCCTTCGGGGCTGGCTGGTCTCAGGGGAGGACCTTAAGAGGGTCTTGTGGGTATTATCCTCGAGGCTCATACCTTAAGTCCCGAACGGGGGGTTTCGGGCTTGGAGATGAAACTGGCGGCCCCAATCCTTAAGCCCTGAGAGCCAATCGTAATAGGAATCTCAAGCAGCATTGAATCTGTCATTGCGTCCAAGACTCTCTATAGCTTGCCGGAACTGTTATCCCGAGAGCTTGGAAACCCGAATGAAACCCTGACCCCTAAACCCTTACGATCTAGTATATGGGGCCTTAATCATTACCTATACTTTGTGGGGTTCCTTATTCTATTTATAGAATATGCCCAAAACCCAATTCTGATTATTAAGGCCCTACATATATCAGCCCACAAGTCTCATATGCTCAAGACCAATCAGCATCCAGCAAGCTTATGCCCGAAACCGTGGCGAGTTAAAGCCTCACCGTGGACCGTCGACCCTGAAAGCTAGACCCCATCCCTGAACCTGCATCCAGGGTGTAAAACACCCCAATTTAGATATTTTATACTATAATAAAATCTATTAGCATATGCTATAATATACTCTGGTATAACAGTAACATCAATATGATATAATATAAAACAAGATAGTCTAATATAATGTAATGGAGTACACTATAGTACAATCTACTAGAATCTTCCTCTTCAGGCCTTCCCGGACCTGAACTGTGCGCGCCACGCGAGCTGGACTGCCTTGCGGCGGGAGCTCATTGATCTGACGAACAAAGAGGCTTCTTCATGCTGCATCACTAGCATGCATGTGCTGTGCCTTTATGCTAAAGAGAGTTGCTAGCTGGTGTACTTCGTCTCTCACTGCAGTCGCAGAAGTTCGGGTCTGGGTTGATCTGGGTCTTGCTTCGATCGGTTCTCGCGAGACCCAGAGCAGAGGAGTCGAACTCTCCAACCTCGCCGCGCAGACTTTTGTGTCTGAAAGACCTTATGACCCCCGGCTTGAAACCTAAATCCCATCCCCAAGACCAAGACTTCAGAACTACCCCGCCGCCCATCCCCCCGAACCCAACACTCCCCAAAGCCAAACCCATCCAGACCCCAACACGACACAACACTAAACACGTAAACCCACCACCCCGAGCCCAAATCAAATCCTGACGCACCCAAGCACCCACGGGATTTTGGAAACAGAAACCAAACATCAGGGGTTTTAGTACTTTGTTTTTGTGGGGCTCCTTGTGTTGAGGATCCTACTAGCTGTGTAGGGGTCTGTATCGGGCAGCTCGGGTCCGTAGCTTCCCATCAGGCCATGGCTTTCCCGACGCACTGGCAGACCTGGCAGGCATTACGCCTGGATTCATTGTATTTTTCCGTTTGTTGGCTACTTTCACTCAATCCAAGCCTGAGGACACTAAAGGGCTCAATCGAGAAACTTGCTGTTTGGTTATCTCCTTTTGAGGTGGTTACGAGTCTTGGGGGGGTTTGAGAGGAGTCTCGGGCTTGAGCTGAAGGCTTCGGGGGCTTTGGGGCACTGGAGGTCAGGCCTTGGCTTTTTGGGCGGTGGATGAAAGTGGAAGAGCCCACCTCTCCAAAGCTGAGCCCCTGGATCCTCTCGGGCTAAGACGTCCATCACCATGCTGGTGCAGAAGCACACGCAGGGGCAGCTTGGGCGAAGAACGATGAGCTGGGTTGAGGTTTTGGGGTTCTAAGTCGAGGGCCATGAAATGAGCAGGGAGTTTCAGACCCTGATATGTCCCTATCCCACAAACGGAAGCACCACTGACATCGAGACATTGTTTTGGGGCCCTTCAAGATGGATCGGAACTGTGCCAAAGCCCAGCCCCCATAACGGCGCACTGCGAGACATGAAGAGGCTCATGTCAAAGCGTGCACCGCAACGCCTGTCATGACTCTTGAAGCCACACAACGAACCTGAATTAGCCTCTTGCACTGACTTCTGCTCTGCGCTAAAGCCGCTGAACCTTGAACCCTAAGCCCTAGTACCCAAACCCTGAACGTTATACAGTTATAAAAGCTTCGAAAGTCGATAGCCGAGGAAGTATGCTACCTCGACGTCCATGGAGTTTCTCCACTCCCATGGTTTCAAGGTACTGTGGTTTGGGCTTGAGGCATTTGGTTCTCGGGCTCAGGGGGTGTTCGGTGCAGGGCCTGGGGTTTAGGGCAGGTCTGCAAGCTCTCAGCGACATCTGGAGAAAGTTGGTTGTAGGTCGCGAAGGGACGATTTCAGGTGTTGGAAGCTTTCCTCGAAAGTTTACAACTAGGTCCCATCATGGACCCGAAGCTTCTAAATCCAGGACCTGAGTTGCCCCCATAACGTCCAAAGCCCGAAACCCCAAGGCCCTCAACTCTCGGAGGCATCAGATGGTTCACAGCCCCACCGCCCTGAGCCCCTCGCCTCCAAAAGCCTCAACCCGGAAGCCATTCCGCTTTGTGCATCTCCTCAGACCGAAAGAGCCCGTTCCTTTTTGACACCCTTCGAAACCTTACCCCTGTTCTGAAACGACGATCAACCGTATGCAGCCCTTATGAAATATGATACAAGCCTGATAAGGAAAACTTGCATAAAAACCCGTATTATTTTCGCAGCTTTTCGCAACGATGGCAGGTCTGCCCTTTGGGTGTCGCTGCGCTCGCCGCGGCCACCTGGCTGGGTTGCCTCGGTGAGGTCGCCAACTTCGCGCGGGAGACCAAGGAGTGGCTTGGGGGGTTGAGGTTATAAAGTGGCCATCATGTGTGTTCTGTATGAGTTTTTGGCAAGGGCTTTGGTAAGAGTTAAAGCGGTTCTACGAGGAGAGGCTGCTAATTTGGGGGCTGACTAAACAGAGCAGGGCTCGTTTGAACGGTTCCCTTAAAGGTTCTGTAAGGGCTACTGTCTTATGAAGTCGTGTATCAAAGGAGGCAGATTCACAAGGGGGAGAAGCTTTCACTGCATCTTTGAAGGAGAGTTTTTTTTGAGCTTTTCTGTGTTCGCCTCCTGGGGGCTCCTGGGTTTGGGCCTTAAACAAGGGTGCTCCGTTTCTGCTCTACAGAAGCCCAGTGTTGCCACCTCGGAGAAACTGAGTAAGCGCAGGCTTCGCCCGAAACGCCTTGCCACTTTTGGGGGGCTCAGAGAAATCCACCCCGCCATCTCTGCCATAAACATGCATTTCTCGCGCTTGTTGTGCATTTGTGGCGTCTTGGAGTTGCCGGGGCGAAGCCTGAAACATCAGGCGCATAGCAGGCACCCTAAGTTTGATCTCCAAATCTGGCACACTGCGGCATCGAACACAGTCGAAGCAAAACCCGGAGATCTTGAACCCCTGAAAGGCCGAAGCTCCATCTGCCCTGAGCCAAGCTTCCTCCGATCTTCCACCCAAGCCCGGAAGCCGACATACTACAGCTACTACTGTACAGATTAATCCTGATACTCTTAAACCAAGCACTTTCAGCCCTCCTTGCTGAACCACCCTAAACCCTAAATACCGAAACCCTAAGCCCTACCTCTCAGAGGACGCGACCTTCGACCAGAGATTCTGGAGCGTGGTCGCAAAGGATGGGGATCGGACATCTTGCTCGCCTTGGGAGTTTGTTTTCTCTGCCTGGTTGAGGGTTTAGGGTTCAGCTGTACATTCCACCGTTCAGGGTTCACGGAACTTAGAATGCAAGGCACTTATGATTTAGGGCACTTCCGCTTGCAAGACCCAACGCCCGAAACCCTGAAGCTTCAAACCTCGCTACATCCTTAAACCAATCCCCTAAACCCCTAAACCCTACGAAACCCCACTAAACCCTTTAACCAATCCAAACCACCTTTGCGGCCCTGAAGTGCGAAGCCTTGGGCAACATCCTCCAGCAAGCGACCGTGGCTGCAACGAAGGCGGCTGGGCTCAGACTGTTAGTAGAATGGGTCCCTGGAACATGTAGTGATCGTATGCCTGAGGGTGCCTTGGTTGCATGAACATGGAGGCTATTTTGGGGTCTGACGAGATAATCCCGATATAAATATGCACCAAAATGAGCCCCAGCAACTCTGCTCGAGTTTATTCAAGACACTCTGCTATGGGGATTTGCGGTGTCTGTGGAGCTACGCCTTGGTAACTGCAGGTATGCAAGCTGGCTACATGAGCTACACTCAGTATTCGAGAGAATGGGCGGTTTTTTCAGGAGGGATGGAGGCTTCTCTAAACGGTTCACATTCTGGCCCCCATCAGGGTCTGTGTCAAGGCATCTATGCCGATTCTTGGCCTACGATTTATTTACACACTTTTGGCTTACCATGCATGCATGAACTTACAGTTCTGATTGCTGCTATTGTTCGTGTTGCCCTTTTGGAGTGTGGAATCTGGTCTGTCTGGCTGTCTTGGGCATTGTGTCTTTGGCACACCCATGTAAGCCGTGGTTTCGAAGTTCGACAGGATTTGCGGAGTTTTGGCCAGAGTCTTCAATCGATGGACTGCCCGAAACTCACAGTTCCAAGCGTTGCTGTCGACAATCTGTCAACCCGTTTGGGCAAGCATCTGGTCGGGGCTGAGCAGAGCCAGTGTTCAGTAGCGGTTGAATGTTTGTGAAACTTCATTTAGTACAGGTTCTCAATTTCATCCCGGATCGCGGCGCGCTCATACCATACATGTCGCGGTTGAGGGATGGAAAGCCATCGCACACATGGCTGATGCGAGTTTTCTTCGGGTCCTACAGGTTCGGGCATCACGTGTCGTTTTGGCCTAGGCCTAGAGAGCCTAAGCTCAGAAGCTCAAAGCCCCGAACAAGCCTGAACCCTACTGCAGGGTAATTTTACTTCACAGTCGTCAGTTAGTTCTAGTGACCCTCAAAGGAACCCTCACCTGAATCCTATTCAGCCTTACAATCCCTAATGTAGTTCTACAGGGCAACGAACCCTTAAAGGAACCCTCGAAAGATCTCTGAAGGGAGACCTTAAAGGAACCCCTTTTTAGTATAGATCCCCTGAAGAAAACCCCCCACCTGAGTCCTCCAAGCCTGAGAGGCCACAGGCCTCAACGTGCTGGCGACGCTCGCAGCAACTAAGCGCCCCGGAAGCAGCTTCCATGCGCCGAGATAATCTCTTGAAAAATTAGAGAGTTTAGGGTTCCATGGGCTACCGGGGTTCCTTAAAAACTGAGGCTTCGGGGCTTGAGGTACCTTGTTTTTAGAGGGCCTTTGCACAAGGTGTACTCTTTATTGCATGGGGCTCCTCAGACTTTCCGAAACTCCTTTGAAGCATCCATGCCTCTAACAGACCCCCGTCACCCCGAAGGAAAAAAGGCTCTGAAGACCCGCCCTGAGGTCTCCTTCATGATACCCAGCTTTAAAGACCCGGGTTTAGGGTTTAGGATTTTTAGGGTGTAGGGTGTAGGGTTCCGGGTTTTTGGGGTTTGGGGTTTAGGGTTTGGGGGTTTCGGGTGTAGGGTTTAGGGATTTAGGCTTTAAAATTGGGGTTAGCTTTAACTTCCTGAAGAACCGTTCATAGAAACAGCTACCCCCATCAACCAGGAAACCCCGGTAAAAGGTTCTGCGCTCCCGAAGCTCAGAAGCTCTTGTGGGTAGCCGTACTATTAACTATTGCTATTTGGTTATTATTACTATGTTTAGTTCCTTAAACCCTAAACCATAAAAAGGGGCCACTGCACTTTAAAAAAAAGCCTTAAACCCTAAACCCTAAACTCTAAACCCGAAACCCTACTTATTTCTACTATTTTTATTGTGGTAGAGCTCGTGTGACTGCCTTCAGAGGTGGCCGATACTTGCTTTGCTTTCCGCGGGGGAGCAGCCGAGTCTCGACCACGTTTACACCCGAACTCCTTAAATCATAACAGCGGCAATGCGGACAAGGGAAAGCATGACCCGAAATTTGGGCCTTGGGTACGATTCAGGCTTCTACTTCTAGGGTCTCAGGGGGCTGGTGGAATGTCGCAGGTCAAACAGAACGATCGAACCATACTGCTGCGGCAGTGCCACGCATGAGAAGAGTTCTGCTGGTTGCCGCACCGTTTCCTGAGAGACCAGGATTCCTGCGTTTTCAATGTCCATGCGGGTTGGCTCGTCTGCAGAAGACGTCTTCGGTGAAAACGTCAAGTGGGGCGGCGGGCCACAGGTTATAGCAGGTTTGCATAAGCTTGCCAATGTACTCCCAGGACATGTGCTATGTATAGTGGCGCTGCAGGGCTTCAAGTATAAGACTCGGCCAAGGAAGGTGCCTGTTGGAAGCCAGGCTACCATAGTCCCTCAGCCCGACGTGTGCTTCATGACGGAAACACTGCTTCTGATTCTTCGAGCGGCATGCGGCATGCGGCATGCATACTGTGCAAAGTTTCAAGGTGCATTAGCGACTTGACCCTGTTTCTGACATATGTATCAACAGCTTTTGGCACACCATAGAAACACTCCAAATAAGCACTAGAACTCTGATGAGCTCTGTGCCGCTGTAAGGATCCAGTGGCATCTGCATGCCCTCCTTGGCAGATTGGCGGGTTTAGGCTCGGAGTTGGAGTGAGAAGTTGGATCTAGGATGTCACCTTGCTGAGGGCGGTGCGAAGTAACGGCCCAGGTCTTTGGGCCTGGTCTTGAGTTTCGGATGCTCATTATGACTCACCCGCTCTTTGTGGTCCCTGCAGGGATCGACAGGCTTCTAATGTCTAATGCAAGAATTAGATCAAACATGAGTTGGCAAATGAGCCAACCATGGCTATGGGTTTACCTAGCGGCAAGAGCAAGACCTTTGATGCAGAGGTCGGCTTCACTAGTAAGGCCGTCCTGCAGTCCCCGCTTCCTCGTTGTGATTGTTACGGCCGCTATATGAAACACTACACTCCGCCGACTGTAGCCTGTAGCCACATGAAATTGGTCACTGCACAAAGGGGCTGGCAGAGAGCAAGCACGTGCAGCAACTCCGCGTCTTCCGTAGGTTTGGCGTTAAGGGTTGGGGTATTGTATTAATGCACTATACTGTGTTATTTCCATATTGTATCATGCTATTTGTATTGTATCACGTTATGTTGTATCATATATCTTTAAATCATGCTTTATCATCTTACATCAGATTACGCCATCTTCTATCATGTAGTATGTAATTCTCGTGAAGATGCGGATATTGCCCGTGCCCTCTCACACAGACTTGGGTCCCTCCTCTAGTCTCCCCTGTCCTTTCCCATTGTCGCGCCGCGATTGACTGAGAGAGGCCGGATCCTGGCATAGAAGAGGGGCCTTCAGCGATAGCAGCGGAAGCAATTAATAATTACCTATACTATTTTGCGGGCTCCTTGTTAGAATTATAGTATAATATGCCGCAAACCCTTTTCAAGGAAAGAAGAGCGAAATGAAACCCAGAGCCCGTCAGCACTCTTTCCTTCTCTCTGGAGGATCCCAGAAGCGCCTGTCACCAGAAGTGAACGTCACCATCCAGGTGGGTCGTCAAGAGGTTGCTGGTTGAGCCTGCATGCTACATTCTATCATACCAACTTCAACGCATAATTTCATTGATTGGCCGCAGTCATTTGCAACACTCTTCCTTAGGGTTCCTGATGCAATAATCTTGTTGAAGCGACAAACTCTGATGCTACGTCGTGGCTTTGCAGTTCTGGACGTTGAGGACAGGTTTGGGATTGAAGCTCTGGGGCCTAAACCTCGACAGCCTAAGCTCTAAACCCGAAACCCTAAACCTTAAACCCCTAAGCCCTAGACCCCTAAATCCTACACCCTAAAGCCCCAAACCCTAAAGCCTGAAGCCCAGAATAATTAGAATAGGTTTTGGGTTCCTTCATAGTATAAGTATAAGAAGGAATAGTATAGGGAATTAGTTAGGCTTCTTTATTGGGCCTGTGGCTGTGCCAGAGTTCAGGAGAAACAAAACCAGATATACAGGTCCTACAGCGCTTTAAGTATGCCCGAGCAAATATCACAGGTTTGTTTATCCCTAAATGTGCGCTTCAAAACCTGTTGCAACAATAACTTGGCTCTAAACACTCCGCTAAACATACTTCTTTCCTACCGTTTTGAGCCTAAAGCAGGCACTGTTGACAGGTGTGAGGCACCCAAATGCTTAGACTAAAAACCGCAAAGCCCCAGAGCCTTAAACCCTAGTCTCTTCCCATTCCAACAGAACCCGAAACTCTAAGCCCTAAAACCGAAGCCTTAAACCCCTACAAAAGGATGGATTCTGCTTCTCCGGCTTCCCACGCCATCAGCGCCTTCTCAAGCGCTTCGCCGAAATGGTGGCTCGCCTCTAATTTAGGATTTGGGGTTTAGGGTCTAGGATTTAGGGTTAGGGTTTATCTAGGATTTAGGGTTTAGGGTTTAGGGTGTAGGGTCTAGGATTTAGGGTTTAGGGTCTAGGATTCAGGGTTTAGTTCTAGGGTTTAGGGCTTTGATTATTTTTACTGTTTGGAACCTTGGGTGGGGCTTTGACGCCTAAAGCCTGCAACCGCTTTGAAGCCGTAAAGAAGGACAGCGCACGACTCCTCGCACAGACCCGCGAACTCGAAATCATCAACTAAGCCCCAAACCACAAAACACTAAACTTCAATCACCCCAAATCCGTGACCCCTCAACCTGACGCCTGAAATAATCACGACTCATAACCCAGAAGCCCTAAGCCCTGGACCCCCAACACAAACACCCTCCGCAGCCCTGAAGCCAGGTTCGGTCCATGGCAGAGTCCGCGAGGGCCAACTCTGGATCGAAGTGGCTGCCGCTGGGCAAGCAGGGATTTAGGGATTCAGGATTTTACAAAAGAAGGGTTTATAGGGTTTATAGGGCTCAGGATTTCGGGTGTCGGGTGCAGGGATTTAGGGATTCAGGATTTTACTTTAAAGACGGGTTTATAGGGTTTATAGGGCTCAGGATTTCGGGTGTCGGGTGCAGGGTTTAGTTGCCACGGAGTGGGGATTGATCGGAATCATGCTTCAGTCTTTGGGTCGTGACTCGGCTCTACACACACTGCACCATGGATCCTAACGCCCTGAAGCCAACAGTCAACACTCCCAAAACCTAAACCGTTCAAGCTAAGTCAGCTAAGTCTACACCCTTGAGTTCCAAACCTGCTAGGCTGTAAACCTTTCAAGCTCCGACTCAGGACATTTTCAAGAGCCTGCGTCCTACAGATCTGAATGATTAGTACCATCATTCCTTAGGGTTGGCGTAGAAGGAAAGCTCCGGGAGCATCGGTGGGTAGGGAGTTACAGGGCCTGGGGTTTGAGTGTTGTTTGGTTGTGGTTCGGGGACAGCGCCACAAAGTAAATGCCAAAGCCTATACCCCAAAGCGGACCAGAAGCTGCACAAGCAGGGCCTCAGCAGCACAAGGTCTAGAAGCTTGATCTAGCGAACTTGAGGTCCTAAAGCCGTAAAGCCATGAGCTTTGTAAAAGTGTACTTCCTGGATCGTATATAGGGTCGTCCCCGAAGCTTCCCACAGCTATTTATTGCCTTTAAGAGAAAGAGAGGGAACAAACGCGTCCCCAAGGCTTCCCAGCTTTTAATTATTTTTTATGGGAGGAGAGGACGACTAAGGGGGGGAAAGACGCGTCCCCGAGGCTTCCGAAAGCTTTTAATTGCTTTCAAAGGAAAGAAGGGACGGCCAGAGGGTGGACAGACGCGTCCCGCAAGGCTTCCCGCAGCTTTTAATTTAATTTTAAGGAAAGGACAGCCAAAGGGGAGACCGACGCGTTCCCAAAGGTTCCCACAGCTGTTGATTCTTGTTGAAGGAAAGAAAGGACGGCCAGACAGGGGACAGAGGCTTCCCAAAGATTTGAATTGTTATTGAAGGAAGCAAACGAAGACCAGAGGGGGCACAGACGCGTTTTCAAGGCTTCCCAAAGCTCTTAATTGCTTTTAAGGAAAGAAAGGAAAGCCACAGAGGACAGACGCGTCCCGAAGGCATCCCGGAGCCTTATCTGCCTTCTACGGAAAGGGCGGCCGGAGGGGGGACAGACGCGTCCCCGAGGCTTCCCACAGCTTTTTTAATTGCTGTTTAATTTAAAGAAAGAAAGGACGGCCAGAGCGGGGACAGACGCGTCCCCAAGGCTTCCAATAGCTTTTAACTTGTTTTTTAAGAAGGAAAGGACAGCCAGAGAGGGAGGAAAAAACGGCGACGGGCGACAGACGCGTCCCCAAGGCTTCCCAAGATTTGAATTGCTATTGAGGGAATTAAAGGACGACTTGAAAAAGGCCAGGGGGTACAGACGCGTTTCCACGGCATCCCAATGCTTGAAATTGCTGTTTGAGGAAGGAAAGGATGGCCAGAGGGGTGACAGACGCGTCCCCGAGGCCTCCCCAAGCTTCAATTGCGTTCTAGGGAAGCAAAGGACGGCCACAGAGGGGACAGACGCGCCCCCAAGGCTTCCTACAGATTTTAATGTGCTTGTTAAGGAAAGAAAGGACGGCCAGAGGGGGGACAGACGCGTCCCCGAGGAAGGGACAGCCAAGGGGGGACGGACGCGTCCCCAAGGCTTCGCAAAGCTTGGACGCGTCCCCAAGGCTTCCCAAGCTTTTGAATATTTTTTTTTAAGGAAGGCAAGGGCGGCCAGAGGGGGGACAGACGCGTCCCCAAAGCTCCCTAAAGCTTTGAATTGTTTGTTTTAGTATCACTAGTAAGGCGAAAACCGGTAATAATAGTTTAGTATTGGTAATAATCATAATCATGCATTTAATAATGAGAAAAACAGAATCTTCACCATAGTTGTGGTCTAGTGGGCAAGCCTCCGGCCTCTCTTCCCAAAGGTCCTTGGCTCGCACCCCGCCGGTGTCATGAGAGTCTGCTTTGTGCTGGCTTGTGAGCACTGACTAGCGTGCCAGTGGCTCGGGCCGACAGGTTTCTCACGAATTGAAGCAGGAGCTCAAGGACTCACTGAGAAAGTGGGCTGAACTCCTTCGCGAGTTCGGCCGAGCTCCTAGATGGAGCCAAAGGTAGAGGCGAAGGAGGAGCCAACGGAGTTGCCTTCTACCCGCGCCGCCGCCTGAGCCGCGCCGACCAGCAACTGTGGCAGGGCTCAGCAACACGGCACGCGCCCGGGCTGAGCTGGCTGGCCGCAGTTCGAAGGCCCCTTCCAGGCGGAGGAGGCACCGATAAAGGAAAAGCTGCCCGCAAGGCCAAGGCCAAGACCTGGCCCAAGAGGATTCCGGAGGCGGAATCGGAGAAGAAGAAGCGTTAGCGGGCGAAGCAGGCAATGAGGTGGCCGAGCTGGCGGCAAAGAAGGAGGAGGAGGCCAGGACGAGGCGGGAGGCCAGGGCAGCAGAGACGGTGGATCAGAGAAAGACCCGGCTGGAGGGGGCCAAGAGGAAGAGGGCGGAGCTGTACGTATCTCGTATCTCAATCGGGGCTATGCGTAGATACAACTAAAGTTACCTTTACTTATTTCCCGGCTTACCATGTCCCATGAACGAATCCCCTTCTGAATCCTTTTGCAGAACTCTTTGAGAAATCCCTTCAGTTACTAAGTCCCATGATCCTCTAAGAGTAGCCAGGAAGACGAGCCTGGAAGATGATTTTGGGCAGCAAATGCTGCTTGGCAAGCTCACGGCCTTGATGTGTTTGGGGATTACGGCTTTAGGGCTTGAGGGTTCAGGGGTCTAGGGTGTTTGAGGTTTGAGGGGTTCGCAGCACGCACAGGTGCGTGGTGGCTGTAGGAGATTTGCGCTTGCAGTGCTCGTGGAAAAGCAGGCGCACTGTTTATAGCGACCCCGTCAAAGTTCGATACTCAAACCGAAGATATGCATCTATGTTGCAGCTTCTGGGCACAAGCCTACGCCGCGCACATGCTAAGGCAGCAATCCAATTGACGCCCGTGTTTGTGCCATGTGAAACTTACGACTCAGTTCTTAAGGTTGTTCACAAAGGTTCTGACGATGCGGTTCATGTCCACTGTTGTTGTCCTCGCATCCATGCTTTCCAGATGTGTATTGTCCCCGCAAACCGTACTGTGAGTCATCGATCACATACGCATGTCCTGCATCGACGCCTTGCCTGTTGTCTGCATCGTAAGCAGGTCTCTCGGCTGTGTTCTCAATGGCACTTAGCTTCATCTCTTCTGCTTGCGCTCTGGTTCCTTTCCAGGTTTCCCACTTAGTGCAACGGCACTCAAGACCACATATGATGTCATTGTATCACGACCTCAAGGTCAAGCGACATCTTTGATCAGTGAAGCAAAAACGGCGGGGGTCTGGCTGCTGTCAGCACCAGCACACCATGATTCACTAGCACTTTGATCTCAACCCTTCACCCCTAAACCCGTGAACCCTGATTAGCAAGCTGAGGATGCAGATGCTGAAAAAGCGGCGAGATCTCTCCTCTGTCTTGCCAAGGCAAGGGAAAGCCTGCAGGATCGAAGGCTTCGGACTCGAGGCTCTAAGCTTCTTTGTTGGTCCCCGGAGACCCGAAGCCCCAAACCCCGGAACCCTAAACTCGGTTAGCTGCTAGGATTTACGAGGTCGAGGCTCTTGGCACTCTTGGGTTGATCCTCCGCTTTCCTGTCTCATTAGGCTTCTGAGGCATGGTTGTGGTATGACGGAATACGACTCGCGGGGCATGTTTGAGCTGGAGTTTGGTGGGTAACGGGGCCTTCTCAGGTGATTTCTTATCAAATCATCTTTCAGATTCGGCTTTGCTCCTTGAATAGGAGGGTTTCTGTAAACAATCCCAAAAGCGATGTTTATCAAGACCACAAAGAGTGTTTTTGCAAGACTCTTTGTGCCTTTGGGCGCTGCCTATACGAATGCCTGACGAGCTCTCCACCAACAAATTTTATTTACCGAAGCACACGCCTTTCTTCGAGTTTGGACACTTTGCAAGCTCGTCCCTTTCAATCCACCAGAATTCAATGAATGAACCCGATGATGGGTGTACAGCCCAAAGCCGAGAAGCTTTACCATGTCTTCCGGTGTGACACTCCGCGGAAGGCTTCCACTTGTCTGCCAGCCGCTCTACTTTGCCAGTTACGTGTTGTGGGGCTTCGGCTATGCGGGGGATGCCGGCTACATCACTGCCCTTCGGACGCAAACAACTTCAGGGTTCAATGGGATTCGGATCCTGTCGCGAAGAGAGCCCAGGAGACAAACAGCCTCGAAATGCAGACGCCCCACGCATGAACTCCGGAATCACTCCCGAAATCCGAAGTCCAACCTCCGGAGCTAGGCCAGCAAAACCCAATTACATCCCCGTAAACCTCGACGAATCCGACATCTCAGAGGCGGACAACTTGTGACCCGAGGCAAGCCCATCTCTAGCTCGACTTGCTTCAACCTTCCCCTCTAGGTCCATGCACCTTCTGTAGCATACACTTATCGAGTTAACGGTGCTAAAGGAGCGCGCAGGGAAGAAGTCCACCCCTTCGCTCGTCGGATCCGGCACCTTTAGGACTCATTGTGCGCTTCAACAACTCGGATGCCCTAAACCCTAAGCCGCAAACCCTAGACTTTCAACTCTAAGCCCTTCCAGAACCATAGGTCCCGTAGACCTAAGCCCTAAACCGCCCTTTGGTTTTGGATCAGGGAAGCGATGCGGATCTGCGAGCGCTGCTGTGGGAGTCTGTTCCCCTGGGCCAACTGCTTCTCACAATGCCCCTCGTTCACAACGGGTCGGGGTTCTGGGATGTTTTGGGTTCTGCTATACCGTACTATACTCTTGTACATTGTACTATATCATTTTCTTTTAAAAAGATACATTAAATCATATTATATTACATTCTAGTATATCATATGAAGCTTTGAGTTGCCGGCCTTCTGGCCTGGTGTAGTGGCGTCGAGGAGGTTCGTGGCCTACCGGAGGGTCGACTTCCATAGGTCCTAGGTCTTGTGATGCGGACCTCCGCGGTTACTTTTTGGCCTGGCCGTCGCGCTGTTGTGTTTCAGAATGCTGGGTGATGAGCTTGAAGACTCACTCGAAGCTCAGTGGCTCGGAGTCTGCGCCTTTCGAGTCATCGCGGCCTAGGGCTTCGGATCCTAAACCGAGTAGGGCTCAGGCTCACGAAGATACATCCGACTTTGGTACGATCCCCCACCGTCCCTAAACCCGAAACTTCAAAGAAAACAACCCTAAACCCTAAACCCTAATCTTTGTCGGCTCTACTTTCATCCCTCCTCTTAACCTAGTTAGCAAGTCAAGGGTTCCCTCTAATTATCAGGCCCGAACCCAGAGCCAGATTTAGGGCTATAAGTGACAAGAGGAACCTCTAGTATGGTAGTGTATACTGCAGTGTAGTATAGTATGGTATATGTACATGAGTATGTATGGCTGTAAGAGACAAACGGGTCCTTAGAACACAAGCAACAAACGAAGGCCTAAGACATAACCTCAAATGCCAACTGCCCAATTCCCGGAGACCTTCGACTCGACCCCCGAATAATTACCAACACTATTTTTGGGGGCTCCTTATTAAAATTCTGGTAGAACATACACGAAAACCTGATTGTGATGATTAAGGCCCCTGTAGTAATCTTCACCCATTCACACCAAGTCTGCCCAGGAATTTCGTAGCGTTTCCTGTCTTTGGCTTCTGGCGGTACTTCCAGAGCTTCGTGCATCATCGTATGGAGGAGCCAGAGGGGTAGCTGCACGCACCCGAAACGCGTAGACCTGAAATCCGCAACCCAATCCCCTTCACCCTTAGTACATTCCAGTCCCTACAAGCTGACTAACACGCCTAAATCCTGAACCCTCAGCCCGAACCGTGAACCGCAGCAAGGGTTGAAGGTGAAGTGGTTTGGAAAGGGTGTAAACCAGGCCTGCTTCCCCAGAGGTGCCAACTTTTCCCCGCCGAGCGAAGCGCCTCGAGGACGATACAGTTCAGATCCTGCAATTAGGTTTCAGACTTGAGGTTATATACGGCGAAGACTTCAGAATTCCGCGTTTAGGATATGTCAGGGTGTAGAGTTTTCCGGGTTTAGAAAGCAGGCCCTTTGTCTTTCTTGACTGCTGGCTGTTTGGGGTTGAGTGGTCATGGTCGCGGGTTCAGGGTCCGTCAGGGTTTATGGTTCAGGTTTGGGAGTTGAGCGTTCCTGGTTCAGGGTGGTGGAGGGCTCAGTAGGGTCTTCATAGAGTCCAGCAGCCTAGGCTGATGATATCGGACGCGTCAAGCAGAGCTTGCTCGTCTAGAGATCCCATACTGGGACCAGATATCATGCCGGAGCCTGACCCTGCAGGACGCATTCCGCGGAGCCTTCTACGGAAGCCGCTGGCGCGCCTCCCTGGCTTTCGACCATCTGTACCTGGATTGCGAAAGGCCTTAGGAAATCCTGGGGCCTGTATTAGGTTGTTAGGGCTCATTAATCTATATATATATATATATGTATTTCTATATGTATATGTATATATATATATATATGTATATATATCTCTCAATCAGGTTCCTACATTAGTCAACATCCCCGAGACCCAACTCTTACTTTGCCCAGGACAAGCATGCCGGAGCCATAAGGGTTTAGGGTCTGAGCCTTATCCAAAGTTTGTGAAGAGCGAAGCTGCAGACAGGGAGCCTGCCTGAATCCACCGGTGTAATGGACTTAGAAAGAGCCCTCACCAACTGGCGAGAACCGATGCAGCCCTCAGTCTCAAAGAAGTTTTAAGTGTCCTAGATTCCCCATCACTCCCAAGCCCCCCACCCGAAGCCTTCAGCACGCAAAAACACGAACTACCCCGAACCCCAATCCCTTCTACTGCCCCGAAGTTCCCAGCCGGAAATCCGAAGCTTTTGCTAGGAACCTCGAAGCTCGAAGCCCTTTGCCCCTTGGGTTTTTTCCCAAGGTCACATTTTGAGCCCCAAGCCTACGGTTTAGGGTTTAGGGTTTAGGGTTTAGGGCTTCGGGTTTAGGGTTTCGGGGTTCGGGTTTCGACTGTAGAGTTTAGGGGACCGTGAGGTTTCAGCTGCTTCCCAGCAACGGGCTTTCCGAGACCCTCACGGTGGGCAGTGCCCTCCAGCGCGCGGCAGCTACGGCTCCAACATGGGGGGGTCCTTAAGGCTTCAAGGGGCTCTATTCGGGATGTTCCTGGTATTTCGGGGCTTCGGGTTTGGTTTCTATTCCTTTGCCAACGGATCTGGAACCGTGCCCTCGGCGTGGAGCTGTGTTGAAACCGGCGTAAGAACCGCGGGGGAAGGGAGATAGGGGCCTAAACAATTGTACCAATGAGCACTGTTTTCGTGGCTCCTTACCATAACTGTAGTATCACATACCCCAAAGCCCTGTTCTAATGATGGGGTTCCTTACCATAACTGTAGTATCACATACCTTCTAATGATTAAGGGCCCTAGAGTAGATGTTCACTGCAGCCCGACTTCGCTCCTTCGGGCTGGACATTGGCGTTCAGGTGTCTGCTGGAGATTCTGTAGGATGAGGGCCGGGGAGACAAAGGAACACTAGAAATCCCGAGGAGTTGCACCCGAAAACCCAATAAGCCATAAGCCCTGAATTCTAAACCGTGAAGACTTGCTGAAGGTCCTGGAGTCCCAAGTGGCTTGTGGGGTTGTGCTAGGCAGGGCTACGTTTAAGCTCAGGCACTGGTCTGCAAATCATCGTCTGATTGCAACAAGAACCCTCGAAGTGACCCTCCACCCCAACTTCACAAAGGTCGTGGCAATGACGAGTCTCTGGGGCACACGCCATGCTTTGCGTTTGCCTCTCTGGCTGCCGCTCGTCTGTTAGGCGTCACGCCCGCTTGATAGCTCTGTCTATGGGAGGCGGGTTGATGTATCAGGGCGTCGACATGGAGCTCGATCTAGCATCCGTATGTCGTTTCAATAACACCACCCTAACTGCTTCTCAAGCGAATCAATCCGAACCTAGCCAAGGCTTACAGCAGGCTCTGTAGCCCAACACCGTACATCCTAAGCCTCGTAAAGACCAGAATAGTAAGCCTAGACGGGGCGTTCTGTGCTGTGTTCTGTACCGCAAGAAATGCAACCCCTAATTACACTACTGTTTTTTTGGGCATACTGTACTTTACTTGTGAAGAGGGACTGTAAGGTGGCAGTTTGAGAAATCGACCTCTCTGTTACCCTTGCTTATAAGCGGGAACTGCAGGCCCTGAAACCTGTACCCAGGAAGTGCCTCGTGCAAGCTGGCATTGCTGCAACCATTGTGCTCTGCCACGACGTGGAGGTGCGTTGGGCCGGAGGAATTGGCAATAGTATTCCTTAAGGCACTTGTGGTGTACATTGCCCCAAAGCCCTATTGATTTTGTTCAGGCCTTTATATTGGGTTGGTTTTCGGCATTAACCATGCGAACAAGGTTTTGTGATACGCGATCTATGTATACAGGCACTTGCAAGAATAGTCAGGTTACCACGAATCCAGACCCCTATATCACTTCTCTAAACAAAGCGTGAACAAACAGGGATTTAGAACCACGGGCTTCGCCGTCGGGTTTAGGGTACATAAGGTTCGCATCAGGGGGCATGTGAAATTGTAATGTTTAAGGGCGGGTATGCAATGTATCCAGCCCTGGTCGCTTGACCCAACGCATAAATGCAAAACGTAGGCTGGTATAGCTTTTTCCTTGGCAGCCGTATTGTCGCTGCCTTGTAACGTTGACCTAGGGTGATGAAAGCCCTCCTGCGTCCAGGCCTGTTTTTTGGTACCTTACCATGTATGAACAAGCACCCAAACAAGGCTTTCGTTCCACAGGCAATCTGTGACATCTGTGTGGTTAATAGCGGCAGCAGGTTCCGGTCATCGCTGACGTCTTCTAACATTTCTTGTGCAAGGCGATCCCACTCACGAAGCCCTCAACACCGGGAGGCTTTGATGGTGTGCAAAAAGGTTCACGTTCACCCAGAGCTCTGTGCTTTTGCGGACGAGCAGCTCAGCAAAGAGGGTGGCGGTTTTCGAAAGTTCGGGATGGACAAAGGCGCTGTTGTCTGTTTCGTTCAGTTTTTGCTTTCGGTGCCTCGAAAAAGAGTCATCATCATCACCTTCATTTCGCACCCGAGCATGGTCATGATATGTGCCAACAGCAGCAAGATCAACAAGACATAACTGTGTGCAATCCAAATCTCTTTCCTGCGGCCGTCTGGAAACTGTGGCTATCCGTATTTATCCTCGTAGTCCTTGTGGTCATGAACAAATTGCACAAGTTCCAGGGTTCAATTTTCCCTGGGGCTGGTGGCTTCCGGGCCTGAGCTCCCCATCAGCGTCGAAAGAACATGTTTTGTCTCGGGGCTGCATCCGATGGGTGTGGAAGTCAAAACTCCAAGGCGTTGGAAGGGTTCAGCTATGGCTATGGAGCCTTGAACGGCAAAGCCCAATTTTGCGGAGTGGTTATTGTACCCGCACCCTTACAGCTCGTATAGATCCTAGTAAAAGTCTCATAGAGCCACTTACCAAGTCCCATGATCCTTCGCTTAAGGTGGCCAAGAAGCACCCTGAGCAAACCGACGGCTTTGGCTCTCGGTTTGGCCCGGGGCTACGACATGCTGTGGCTGGACATGGACGTGGTGTTCCCTGGCTCAGGTTTCGTTTATGGGATTTTAGGGGTAAGTCCTTCGCCGCGTTGTGCTCGGCTTAGGGCTTAGGTTGTTTTTGTAGGGGTAGTACGTTGATATAGAGGTGGCCACGGGCAACTAGACTTCGTCAACATGTTCCGATAGCTCCTTATCAACATCCGGTGAAGCCGGTTTAAACACTTTTTGAGCAATGTGAGATTCTGACAAACCTTCGGGTAGCTCTGTCTGGGGGACCCTTATAGTACGAATCACCTTGTTCAGGATCCCTGCTTAGTTTTCCTAAAGTTCCCTGTCAGAAAAACCTCAAACAAAAACTCAAACGCCCAGGTTAGTTCGAGACCCTCGTCCGCTTCTTTGGCCGCTGCGCTCTCCAGAAGCTCCGCCAGTGAGCCAGGAGGAGGGTTTAGGGTTTAGGGTTTAGGGTTTAGGGTTTAGGGTTTGGGGTTTAGGGTAAGTCGCCTTTCCTTTGTTGAGGGATTGCCGTTGTACGGGAGATTGACCCAACGCACATCTTTCCTACCCTCTGGTGTTTGGGTATAAGGAGGGAAGCCACGTCACCAGCGGAGAGGAGTTTTGTGGGGAGCTTTTTGCCCAACATCCACTTCTGCGCCCCAAAATCCAAGGTCCAATATGTTAAACCCTAAACTTAAGCCCTTAACCCATGTGAGGGTCACGGGTTGTTGCCACGGTGAAGATGTGAGAGAGGTTTCTTCCAGTAAGAAGCCCGAGCGATGAAGCAGTCACCAAAAGGCCCTCAAAAATAAACCCCAAAACCCAAAACTCCAAACTCCCAAGGTCCAAAGTCCTCCCCTAAGCCCTAAATGCTAAACCCTAAACCCTATCAACCCAGTAGCCTCAAACGAATCCCCGGGCGTCCGAAATAAGCAACAGGAGGAAGCTCCCCACCTGCTGCTTTCCGTGGAGGCGAGCGGCGGGGTTTAGGGTTTAGGGTTTAGGGTTTAGGGAATAGGGTTTAGGGTTTAGGGTTTAGGGTTTAGGGCTTAGGGTTTAGGGTTTAGGGTTTAGGGCTTTGGGTTTATATTGTTTAGGGTTTAGGGGGTGGAGGGACTGTGGGCGAAGTTTCAGTGGAGGGTGCACGTTGAGCCTGGGACTTCTAGGGTGTGTTTGGGGCTTTGCGTGGCTGGGCGTAGTTGGCATGTCTCAACCGGAATGGTTCATTGAAGCCCTGTTATATAGGTTTAGGATGTAAAAGTGGGAGTCCAAGGAACAACTCTAGCCCCGAAGTAGTTACAGTGGGATCCTTCTGCTACAGCCCCTGCAAGCTGAATTATGATTGTAGTAAGGCTCGGGCTTGAGTCCCGAAACCCGTAACCTTAAATCTTAAACACTAAACTTCAAAACCCTTTGCGCCCAAAGCCCGAAACCCTGCACCACAAAAAGCATGACACACTCCAAAACCCAAAGCCTGAATGATGGCAGGGAGATTCTTGGAACTGCGTGAACGCCGGCTTGCTCCTCGTGCGTAGTACCTTTGTGGCTTTGCGCGGCTCAGCTGCAGCTTATGTTTTCTTTTAATGGGGCTTCTGTTTAGGGTTTTGGATTTGGGGTTCAGGGTCTAGTGTAGCTTCGGGTGTGGTGACCCGGGTTATGCTCCACATTCTGCCTAAACGAGCCTCGCATGTAAGGAGCCTAAGCCCTAAACCCTAAACCGTATCCTGACCATGAACCCTAGGCTCGTAGACCTGCAATCTCTGAGACGTCTGGGAGAATGGTGAAAATCCGGGTGGAGGGTTTAGGTTACTCCCAAGACTCAAAAAGACACCCAAAACCTCACACCCTTGCGTTCTCGATGTGCTCAGGCTTCGTGGCTCTGTGGTTGTCGATGATGATCTTGCAGCCACGCGAAACAGCGAGTTCAGGCGTTTTCGGAGGGATTTCAGGCGTTCCGAGAGGTCACCACAAGAAGCCTCAAGGAGCTTGGGCAAAGCAAAAAGCCTGGAGAAAAAATACCCTGTAACTTACAACGGGCTTTGGTCTCCTCTTGGGGTCGATCTTGCCCCATTTGGAGGAGTCAATACATGTTTGTGTTGTCTTTGCATTGCTTTCCGGCATCATTTCTTGTGGGCTTCTTGGCTTCCTTGCAATGCACTGGGAAGCCCCAGGACCCTAGAAATAGAAACTTACCCCTCCGATGAAGCAACTCTGCAGCCACAAGCTCGGCTACTTTGGGGAACCCTTCCAATGTGGACGTTCCTCGATCACGTGTCTCCGCGATCCGATGCATCTCCCCCATATCTTGTCCCCCTAGGATTTGGAAGTAACCGGTTATCATTGAGGTAGCTATTTTCACACCTTCTACTGAAAAAGATAGTTAGTATTAGCAGCAAGGTATCTAGAGTTGTACCATATCTGAGCCCTTCCGGCGGCATCACTGGGGTGGGAGCTTGCAGGGATTTCGAGTTTCTGGGTAGCGTCGTCGCCTTCGGTATTTCGACAACAGGAACTCCCGACGCCTGTCCGTCCTCCGAAACCCCCTGCATGCTCGTGATCTCATAGAAACACAAAGAGGGATGCTGTGGGGGATGAACTAAAATCTCAATACCCCGAAGGGCACAACATGACAATAGTGAGGCAGCCGCTTTACTTCGACCAGCAAGTCCTGCGACATCTGCTTGGCCTCACGATTTCGGAAATGTATTCGAAGCCTGGCGAGCAAATTGTAGCTGCTTTTCTTGGGAGTATGTGTAGGTGCTATGCGCCGTGATTGAATTTTGGGGGATTCCGATCAAGCCGAACATATTCACCCATGCATCGGTTGTTGGATACGTCACCCTCCAGGAGCCCTTCAAGCAAAAAGCTGAGCGGCTACACGACTGATTGGAAGCGCCGCCTGCACATGGGCCTCTATACTCCGCAGTCGGAACTTTTTGGGGCGCGCCGCACCCCACCTTGGGGTGTGCTCCTTTGACATCTTTGGTCTGGCTTTTGTTTCTGGGTTTTTGGGGGATTCCTGTAAGACCAGGCGGCGCTGAGAGTCATGCCCCTACTTGTAGGCCCCGAATCCTCATTTCTAAGTGAGGTATCGAGATTATCTGGCTAAAGCCGCACTCCTTGCTTGAAGGATCAGGTTAGCAAGTGGGTCGTGGACCCGAACCTTAAAGAACCTAACTCCCGGTGCAAAGAGCGCTTTAGGCTTTGCGCATTCAGGGTTTCAAGTTTTTGGGGACTTAGGCTTAGGAACCGGATTTAAAGCCCTCTGAACCTCTCTGTTCAGAGGCTGCACCCGTGCATTTTCGCCATGAGCCCTTACACCACCTGGGGTGGCACACGGGACACCGCCAGGGTAGGGCTTCGGGGTTTCATCGACGGGGCCAAACACTTCAGTTCCATTTACCAATAGAAGCCTGGAGTTGGAACATAAAGGCCCCTCATGCGCTTAGTTTCTCATAAAGAACTCTTCGGGGGAACCCTGGGTCCCTCCAAGGAAAGCTCTTGAGTACCCTGAAGGCTGATTGAAGGTTCAGGGTGCCGGGGTTCAGGGCTCCAGACATGTCATAGACGGATCGGCGTCACAAGGATCCAGCAATGTGAGTTGGAAGTAAGCTGCACGGAGCATGAGGCACATCCGCACCGTTCAGACGTGAAGCTCACTCTGAGTGGGTCAGTAGCTTTCAAGACAGAGGCCCGCTTGGAGGGATGGATGAAGCCCCAAACTTTAAACCCGACTCTGAGGGGACAGATGAAATTGCCTTCCATGCATCGCAAAAGCCTCTGTCGGCCCCAGGCTCTTTGAGGGGAGATCCCCTCTGAAACCCGGGATCAGGGAGTTTTGCGGATGAGGGTCTTGGGGTTTAGGCTGTTGCGTCTTGGGGACCAGACTTTCAGGGGCTCCCATGATGCCTAGAATCGCTGCTGTTCTCTTTTCTGGTGAGGATCGGGCTGCGATCCGAGCCTGCGACCTTCCCCAAACTCCAAAGCCCAAAGGCCCAAAAGCCCAAAACCCGCAACAAAAACGGAACCGAAAGGCCCGATGATCCTCCAAAGAAAGGGCCTGGTGACCAGGAGCACTTGTGGCCTGGTTCTTCGGGGCAGATCGCCGCCGCACATGTTCTTGAGAGCTCCTGGGCGCGACCAGGGTTTGAGATGTAGAGGGTTTAGGGTGTCCGGCTTTGGGGTTTTGGGTTTGGGGTTTATCGGGGTTGAGGGTTCACGATGTAGACTCGTAGACATTTAAATTTTAGAACTTAGGCTCAGGGTTCGAGGCTGCTGTTTTGCGCGGGTCCTTGGGCTTTGGGTTTCGTGTGTAGGTTGTCTCAGGATGTGTTCAGGAGCCAACAAGACAGCCCAGTACAGAACCATAAGAATCCGACTGTATGGCACAAACCATGCTGCTGAAGATTCGGACACGTAGGCTGCAAATGGCTCCTTTGATGCTCAGAAGATCAAGCAATGTACTTCTGGTTCGACGGTGTTCGTGGTCTGGGGGTAGAGATATTCAGTGAAACTATCACCCCCACGTTACATACCCAAGACCTAGTCCCGTCAGGCAGGCCCTTGTATTGCCTACTTTGGGTTCTGGGTTCAGGGCTTGTGATGCACGGACGGCTTCAGGCATGTGCAGACGAAGCATGCAGTAGAAATGCTCGCCCCAGACTGCCTTTGCCGTTTTCCTAATGTACGAGTCCTTAGCCTACATTAGGCGTCTTTCATGTTCCATGACATCGTGGAAGGGTCTAGGTGGGCTGGGTCCGGATGGAAGGGTTTAGGCCACTGCACTTTCTCGACGACCGTGCACCAGCTATTCAGATCAGCCAAAAAGCCCGCTTTTTCTGAAAGCGCTGCCCGAAGCCCGCATGTAGAGGTTGGAATAGTCACCCTAAGCCCTAAACTCTAAAGACTCAAGTGATTCTTGCTTCTTATGGTCCTCTATGAGAACGCTGGCCAAGATCCGAAAACCAGAGCTAAGCTCTAAAAGCAAGCCTAAACACCGAAGCCTGAACCTTAAACCCCAAAGCCTCTAAAGCCACAATCCCCTTCAGTTGATTATACGTATCATTTTTTGCTCAACCTTGGGGATTACACAGATACAGATATCTTCTAAAGGTCGTTCACTCCCAAAGCTAGGAGCAGCAAAGTCTTGTCAGGTTTTCCAACCGTCCGGACGCTTCACCAGCAGCTTCTGACGGATCTTCTCGAAGCCACCTACAAGCAGAATGAGGAGGCGGTGCGTTGAGAGCGCTCTGTCGGGTTCTGGAAGGGCCCAAAGTCTACGTCAGCTCCGATCCCGGAGAACCAGGGGTTCGGGAATGTCTTGGGGCCTACTGGCTCGAGAGGCCTCAAAGTTTCGACTTTTGTTTTTTTGGACTTTTTGGGTGCAGGCCTGTGGGGGTTAGGGTGCAGGCGGCATGGTTCAGGCCGTAGTTTGGTCTCGGCGTCTTCGAAGCGCTCCATCTCGCTGTAGGACCCAAACCCAATCTCTTAAGTGGTCTAGAATTTATGCGCTCAGAAATCGCAGCCAGACTAAATTGCCGGGGCTCTGCCTAAAATCCGAACACCCAAACTCCAAGAATTCTTAAAATTAAAAGTTAGATGCAAAGCATAGTCCTCCGAACGACCGCTGATGTGCCACGGCCACCTCACAGACTCTGGAGAAGCTGCTGGGCATGTTTCGCACTTCGGATGATGGCATTCGTGCACGTGACTGCCGCATCCATGCCCTCATCGGGCAGGAAGAAAACTTGCCTGGGGTGAGCGTCTTCATGCACGGGGTTCGCTTAGTCTTGGGTTTTGTCCAGTTGGAGCACTGGATCCCTGTCTCTGCAGAGGTCACCCGGTGAAGCCTGACGGGCCCCAACGTCCCCGCCAGCGACAACCAAGCCTTGGATTTGTTTCGGTTACTGTGTGCTGCCGCAGCTTTTTGTCTTGAGCTCATGCGGCATGCGTGTTTGCACAATGCACAGGGATGCTCTTCATCGCAAAAGTTACTATCCGATGTCAGGGCAGATGCAACCCCCAAAATGCTCTTAAGTGTTGAGGTTCCAAGATTCCTCTTTTCTTACTCTTCACCACCCGGCCGCCGCTTGGCAAGATTCCGAAACCGTAGTCCCAATTCCCAAGTCCCAGCTCTGGGAATAGTGCACTGGCTGTAGAACCCGTTGGCCTCCGCCGTTGGCAAAGCTAGCGGCATGGTCCGGCACTCGGAAGACCGAGAGGATCCAAGCTGCGATCAGCAGACCTTGTAGTCAGGAGCTCACCGTCAGATGAGGCCCAAGAGGATCATCTGAACTAAGTATCCGATTTGGGGGGTAGGACCCTGCAGGGTAATGACCCTTACTATAAGGCTTCTTTTCAGAGTCCTGAACCGTTCGGGTATGTTGCAGGGTCGCTGGGGGTGGGGGTCTAGATATACGCTCCGTTTTCGGGGGGTTCCAGAAAGTTATACTAGTTACTAGTATTGACTTAGGCTCATCTGCTGTTTTGGTCCTTATCAGATGGTGGATCCTAGGCTACTACACACTTTTTGAGCTTCTTCTATAAAGATTGAAATCTAGTAAATGGGTTTTGGGTTGTTAGGCTTCGGGTTTTTCGCTTATCAATAGTAGGATTACAAGGGTTACAAGGGTTTTCAGCGTTCGTTTGCCGTCGGTCTAGCGCTTGAGACTTGCAGGGCTTCTCACTTGGGGCTAAACGACGTAAGTCCTGGGATTTAGGGTTCCAGGATTAGTGGTTTGAGCTGTGAACTAAGTCCCAAACCCGAAGCCTTAAACCCGAAACCCTAAATCCTAAGCCGTAAACCCAAAACCCTAAGCCATAAACCCTAAACCCTAAACCCTAAACCCTAAACCCCTAGCATCAACCCCGAGTCCCTTCTTGAAGCCCAGCAGCCGGTGGCGATGCAGAGCCCAAAGTCGCGAACAGCACATCACAGAACCAAAGCATTCGGAGCGGGAATTAGGGTTTAGGGTTTTGGGGTTTTAGAGTTTAGGGCTTTAGGGTTTTAGGGGCTTTAGGGTTTTAGGGTTTAGGGTTTTAGGGTTTAGGGGTTTAGGGTTTAAGGTTCAATCCTGTGGCAGCCTGATCCCTTAGCCCCGCAGAGGCGGCAAGCCTTAGCGCTTTACAGTTTACAGCCGACAAGTCTGAAAGCCCACAAGCGCTCAACCACCGAAGAAAGCTTCACAACTGGAATCCATAATAGGACTGTCGGTTATAGTATGCTAGTACAGAGACTATGAGGGGACATTCCACCCGCCGAAGCGCTATTCTATTTTTTGAGGCCCAAAAATTAAACCGTTATGCCCCACGCTCTTTCTCTCTCTCAGGGGAGCAACAAAGCAAAGCGAAAGTTTGCTGCCACTCAGAGATCCGGCGGTTCCAATCGCCACGGCCTCATGTCGGGTCTGGGGCGGCCCCGGTAGGGGCGTAGGGTTTAGGAAGTTTAGGGTTTAGGGTCTAGGATGCGGAAGGTTGACTCAGAGCTTCGGTGCCCTTGGGCCCTTGCCCGAGTCCCCAAATCTTGAACCCGAAATGCCAAGCCCAAACCCTGAGAAACAGTCCGGAGCCCTTTGAGTCCGGTCGTTTTCACGAAGATCCTGTACTTGGAGGATCATGGGACTTAGTAAGTAAGGTTATAAGTCCTTTAATTAGGGTTATAAGTATAGTTACCCTAATTATAACTTTACTTACTAAGTCCCATGATCCTTTAAGTAAAGCTTTGAGTGCAGGATCTACATTTGCACCCCCAAACTTCCGAAGCTCCGGAGTTGGACCCAGGTAGACCGGATCGGGCAGATGCTAGGTATCAGGAAATAGATCGGTACACATGTTGCTGTTGCTTGTGCGACTGTGATTGCAACCATTACAAACAATCTATTTCCTGTTATTCATGATTCATGACAGCCTTCTGACTCTGGCTCCCTCCCTTTTATCTCTCCCTCGCTCTCGCTCCTCTCTGCATCTCTACGTACAGTTTTGTTGTTGGTGGGGTGTTTTTTTCGGGCACCTGGATTTCGGTTCTCCCGGGCTTTAGTCAGTGGCATAGTGCTCTTGCAGATGCCCGGAGCCAGCTGACGCTCTTTCCGCTTCACAGGTAAGCCCACTGCCAACGCTACTTCGGCAGCCGCTGAGGCTTCCTGCTGCGCGTGATGTAAGACATGGGAGACAGGACTCAATCATAGTACGCCCTTCAAGTTCCGAATAATGTACACCAACAGCACTATTGAAGTTTACGAAGGCCCCTACACGACATTAGGCCAACCCACTGTGCAGTAATGCACACTCAGTAAGGGGCCTAGCTACAGTTACCTCAACATTCTCTCAAGTGGCGTTTCATGTTCGGGGTTTTCTGTACTCAGAAAAGAGGAAGGCTTTCTGCATGCTGCACTTACGGGTGTCGCACAGGCAGCAGTAGATTTTTGTTGTTGCCCACATTTATGCTTGGCTGCTCCTATCTCCTAAACCCTAAACACCGAAACCCAAGACCCTAAACCCTCAAAGCCCAAAGCCCTAAACCCCTAAACCCTAAACCTATCTCCGAAAATGGAGCATCTTGCGCATTGCAAAACAGCGTCGTGGCCGACGACGCAGTGCGTACGCGTTCTGGCTCGATGATTCGCCCCCTACCAGTTTCCATTTTTTTTTATCGCCCTCAACTTCTGGGCTCCTGAGTAGTACACGTTTGCCGTTTTGCTTTTCGGGCACCCTTGTTAAAACCCATTATTCGTCAGTTAATATAAAGGCTTTACTGGGGAACTTAGAATTTTAAACTTAATCATGTAAGCCGCTTGGCTCCGCCGCTCTGCGAACTTATTCGCGGTTCGCTGCCGAATCTTAGACCTCAAATTCCAAACCCCAAACACCAGAACCCGAAGCCCTAAAGCCTACACCCTAAACCCAAACGCTGAAGTTTTAGCCGAAGCCTTCGCACCCTAAACCCTTCAAGGAACTCTTGAAGGAGCCCTTAAAGGAACGCCTAAAGGGAGCCCGTAAAGGAATCCTCACCCTAACTTAAGCTCTCATTCCACTGACTCCTAGACACCGAGCTCTGCAGGTGCCCGTGGACAAAGGTTCGCCCGGGAAGTGCACTTCGCAGGTCGGCTCAAAGGGTTTAGGGTTTAGGGTTTAGTGCTTAGGGTTTAGGGTTTAGGGTTTCAGGTTTTTCTCTGAGGTTTGGGGTGAAAAAGCGTTTCGGGCGTGGAGTCCTTTCTACAAGGGCCTTGATAAGGTTTGGGGTTTAGGGTGTAGTATATTTTGCAGTAGGGACTTGATCATGAGCTCCGGTTTTTGTTGGTGGAGTTCTGCACCAGAAACACGAAGCTGGACAGCCATCTTACGGTTTCGGGAGCTAGGTTTCGGGTGTTTATTTGGAGGTCTCGGGTCAGAGTTTACAGTTCGGGGCTTGAAGGGTCTAGGGCCTCTAGGGATTCGAGTGCATGCTTGGCACTTGTACGGTTGAGGGTCTCTCTGGGGGTTTGTTTGGAAGCAGGTGGAAGGTTTCCTTTGTCCTTTGCCAGGTTTTCGTCCTAGGTCCTAGGTGTAAATATCGTGCCGCTGATCAGCAGAGCTCCGGAAGCCACAGCTTTCCCTACGCTGGGCCATTGAACTGCTGGGATCGGACAGCGGTGACGACATCAGTGCAGTATGCAGAATCACACACACTGGGTAAGAATCAAGTTGGTCTGTGACGCAGCATGCCGGACACTGGCAGCCGAGCCTCTGGCAGGTGGAGTGACAGGTAATGATCATCACCGTCGTCATGCTTATCTTCATCCTCTTGTCATCACCGGTATGATGGCGACGATGATCATCATCATCGTCATCACCACCATCATCACCCTCCTTGTCATCATCATCATCATCATCATCATCATCACAATCATCCTCATCCTTATCACTAATTGCAATCGACGTCATTCATAGTGTTAACATGTTTGTCTTCATTGTCGTCATTACAGTCATTAAAGCCACCATGCAAGTAGTTCTTCCTGGGTCGGATTGGGAATTTGCACACCGGAGCGCTTAAGATTGTTGTCTCAGCGGATATTTGGGCCCAGCCTCTGGCAATCCGAGGTATAGAAGGCTTACATTCCCAACCAAGCGTTTCTAAATGTGGCCGTGCACTGCTCTAACTCCTCACAGACGATGTCACCACACTTCTGACTATGGTCTTTGCAGGCTTCGTGGAACGTTGAAGCGTTAGTTACTGGTCAGAGGGCACTCACGTGAGCGATGGCGCAG